GATAACTGCATCTGAAGTGCTTGAGATAGGGAGGCATTTAGACCTTTGATAGAATTAAACGAAGGCTGAGTGGCCAGAGAAGGGAGAACCAGTTAGGGAATTAAAAGGTGAGTTCAGAGGGATGCGGATGAGGGCAGTTAAATCAGGCTGGGCATTATAGACTTGATGGGAAAGGGGCAAAGCGGACTATCTATAGGCAGGGGAGCAATGTGATTAATGATATGATTCAAGTTTAGTAAAGAATTCTATAGTTGATTATGGGTGTGATTTTCCTGGAACATACACTTTTTCAATGTAATTGTCTTTCTAATTTCTTTTGCAGACAGCAAAAAAAAGTAATTTAAGTACATTTTTTTTTAGCAGGAAGTCATTATGACGGGCAAACATTTACAAATAGCAAACCTGCTGGATTTAGTTATCTGCCATCTTGGGATTTGGAAATGATAGATCTCTTGTCAGTGATCAAATACCAAATATCAGAAATGTAAGCTGATGCAGATGAATTCTTAATCAAAGAAAAAAACATGATTTGCACCCATGATATAACTGAGATGAATTTCAAGATGTGATGATAAATGCTTACAAAATCAAGAAACACATAGTATAGATTTCATTGCTTCTAAAGGAGCAGTGAAATTTCCCAAGGCTGATAACGTTACTTGAAAATTTGGTCAGTCCAATTCGGAAGGAGACTCTATGCAGTTGGATAGAGAAGTCCCAGAGGAAAGGGCTTCACAGTTAGATTAAACACAGGCATTCTGAACTCTAACATATATATGAAAGTTCTTGAGGATCCCAGCTGGTAGTAACCACAATGTCCAGATTTTCTAGGACAGTTTTTTTATGAAATACTCTTCTATATTTCTGGTACACTGATGCTTTTTATTTATTTATTTAATTTTATTTTTAAAATTAATTTTATTGGTATATTTAAGGTATACAATATAATGACATTCATCATTGGAAATTTGCACCTTTCCGTAATCCATCTTGGTTCTTATTTTTTCCCCTTTCCTTTGCTCTCCCTTCAACCCCTCCACCCCTCTCTACAAAGACTTTGTTTCCATTTTTCCTTTTCTCATATTAATTCCATTCCCTTTCCTTTCCCTACCCCTCCTTTTCCCCTTCCCCTTTGTCCCATTTCTTCCTATTTCACATTATCTATTGTACCTTTAGGCCTTACTTTTTTCTTTCAGTTTTTCACACTAGAGAAACCATTCAGTATTTACACGTGTATGTGCTATTTATTTCACTTGTGTGGCCTCAGTGTGCATTGATTTAGCTATAAATTTCTCTAATTTCTCATTTTTTATGTCTGAGTAGTACTCTATTTTATTGAAAAAAAAAACACATTTTCTTTATCCAGTCTCTTGTTGATGGACAATTGGGCTGCTTCCAAGTGTTAAGTATTACAAATTGTGCTGCTATGAACATGGGTGCACATGTATCACTGTGGTAGGATTCTTTTAATTCTTTGGGGAAGAAACCCAGCAGGAGAACAGCTGGGTCAAATAGGACTTCCAATCCTAGTACTTTGACGTATTTTCATACTGATTTCCACAGTGATTGCACCAGTCTACTCTCATACCAACGGTGGAGCAGTATTATTTTTTCCCCACAGCCCCACCAGAATTTATTTTTGGTTGATTTCATGATAGCAGCCATTCTTTCTGTGGTGAGGTGGAATCTCAGCATTGTTTTCCTTTGCATCTCTCAAATGACCAGTGATGTTAAACATTTTTTTTCATATGTTTATTTGCTATTTCTACTTCTATGTCTGAGAAATGTCTGTTCATTTCAGATGCCCACTTTTGGATTGAGTCTTTAAATTTTGGGGGTCTAATTTTTTTAAGTTCTTTATATATTCTAGATACCAGACCTTTGTATGAGGAATAGCTGGTGAATTCCACATTGTGTGTTGTCTCTTCACACTGTTGATAGTTTCTCTTGTTGTGCAAAAGCTTTTTAATAGGAAGAGATCCCACTTGTTGATTTGCTAGTTCACGTGTAACTGAGGTTTTGTTCATAAAATCTTTTCCTACACCAATGTTTTCAAGAGTTCTATCCTCTCTTCTAGCCAGTTTAGTGCTTCTGTTTTAATATTTAGATCTTTAATCCATTTCAATTTTAGTTTAGTGCGTGGTAAGAGATACAGATCTAGATCTATCTTTCTTTTTTTTTGTACCAGGGATTGAACTCAGGCCCTTGTGCTTGCGATGCAGGTGACGGAACCACTGAGCTAAACCTCCACCTATACAGGTCTAGTTTTAATCTTTGGCAAGTTGAAACCCAGTTTTTCCAGCAACATTTATTAAAGAGGCTGTCTTTGCTCCGGTGAGGGTGGTTGGCTCCTTTGTCAAAGATGAGGTAGTTTAGTGTGTCTGGACTTGTTTCTGCATCTTCTAATCTGTTCCACTGGTCCTCAGGACTGTTTCTTTGCCAGTATCATGCTGTTTCTAATCACAGTAACTTTGTAGTACAGTTTCAAGTTGGGGATTGTGATACCCCCTACCTCGTCTTTATTGCCTAGAATTGCTTTTGCTATTCTAGGTCTCTTCTTGTTTCAAATGAATTTTGGCACATTTTTCCTCAAGGTCTGTGAATTATGCTGTTGGTATTTCAATTGGGATTGCATTGAATCTATATAGCAGTTTTGGAAGTATGGCCATTTTTACTATGTTGATTCTTCTTATCCAGGAGCAAGGGATGTCTTTCCATTATCTGATATCCTCTTCAACCTCTTTTTTCAGAGTGCTATAGTTTTCAGAGTAGAGGTCTTATTCCTTTTTTTAAGTTGGTTCCAGAGTATTTCATATTTTTGAATACTATTGTGCAAGGAATTGTTCACCCCATTTCTCTCTCAGTGCATCTGTTTTTTGTGTACGTGAAAGCTATTCATTTTTGTGTGTTGACCTTGCATCTAGCTACTTTACCGAATTTGGTTATTGGGTCTAGAAGACTTTTGGTGATTCTTGGGGTCTTCTATATAGAGTATCATGTTATCTGCAAATAACGACAATTTGACTTCTTCATTTCCTATCTTTATGCCTTTTATTTCTTTTCTTGCCTAATTGCTGTGGCTAATGGTTGCAAAACTATATTTCACAGGAGTGGTGATCGTGGACATCCTTGTCTTTTTTCTGATTTTAGTGTGAAGGATTTCAGGTTTTGACCATTTAGTATGATGTTGGCTGTTGGTTTTTCATAGGTGGCTTTTATCAGATTGAGGTACACCATTTATTCCAATTTTCTGTGAGGTTTTTAATCTGTGGTCAATGCTCTTTTCTGGGTAGGCCTTTGGCTTGGGTGGATGTGCCCAAGTCCCGTGGGTTGAGGCAGAGCCCTGTCTGTGATCTGCCTGCAGCTGTGCTGCTCTGGGCCGTACCACTGTTATCTGGGATCTGCCTGCACTCGCCAGTGCTATGGGGACAGGCCTGTCCTAAGGCTGTTTGCATAATCATATGACTCCTTCAGTTTGAAGAGCTGTCCTTTATACCTAGAAGCATCAAGATTCTCCTCCTTTGCTATTGTCACCTAGAATTTGCTCCTCCCCATCTAGCTTCCTTGTCTTCTTCTTTCTCCCTCCCCTTTCTTCTCTCCTTCCATCTCATCCCAAAAACCTGAACTCGGTCCCCAGAAACTTAACTTGTGAATTACGTGTATAATACCACTTGTTTTTTTTCCTGTCTTTCTTGAATTTCTCAGTTATTCCGATTCAGCTACACAAATTCATAAGTGACTATTAATATGTCTATGCATCAAAAGCCCCCCAAACATGGACACTACCTCAGAGATGGAAGAAATTGTATTCCTAGTTTTCTTCATAAAACTGCTGGTTAAATATCTTAGACAGTGTCAGCTATGCTGCTAACATAATGTGGAGTTACAAAATTGTTTAAAAATACATGTATGGTTTGTTTTATGATATTCCAGGGGGAAATACCATTCACAAGGAGCAATAAGCTGTACAGTTACTAAGGCACTGGAAAGAAAATGATGACAATACTGATCAAAGAGACCAAACTAATTAAAAAAGTGTATTATGGACCATCCCTATGTTAAGAGCTCTGTAGGCATTATCCCATTTAATTTTCTCACTGATGATATAAGCTAATATTCACATTTGTTCTAACATTGCAGGTAAATAAATTAAGGCTTAGCGAGGACAGAAAAATTTTCTAAGTCATTTTACGAGGAAATGGAATCACCAGAATTCTTAATCTGTATGGTTTGATTCCAGAGTCTATTCTGTTAGCTGCTCCCTAGCCAAAAAATAACTTTGAACCAATCTATGAGATACTCCTGCAGGTTACATGGGTGCCCTTATTAATATGTTAACTAATCTTTAGTCATCTATAACTCTCTGTTCCCTATTACTAGAGCTGAACTTGCTGTGGTCAGGAAAAGCACAACAGTTAACAATAGCTTCTTTGGTAGGGCCTCTGTTTTTCGAGTGTGCTTGCAGATGAAACAAAGAACATCCTACTGAGACAGGAGGCCAAGCAATGCTTCTGTGGAGAGCCAACAAAGCAAAATGGTTCCTGGCCAGGGTAGCAAATAGCATGGACTTGTAGACAAAGTTCTGGGCAAACTTTAAGAAGAGGAGGCTCAGTGCCAATGCTAAACTCTTGCTGTGACATCAGAAAACATTTAGGTGGGGTATGTGACAGACTCAAGTGCATTAGAAGTAACAGCCAGGAAAGTGTAGTATTTAAATGAACAATACTGATCTGAAATGTCTATTTCCTCGAGGACCAGAAAATTTACTATGCTTTCGTGTCAGGATGTACTGTTCAATGAACAGATGTCTGTGAGAGGCTTTCAGTGCTGGACAGTCAGGATTTCTATAATCAAGGGTTATTTTCCCCACCAATCCTTGAAGCTAAAACATAATTCTTAAGACCCAATGTGCCTGACTTCAAATTCAGACTATATCTATGGACATACAGTAGAAAAAGAGACAATGAAAATGTTAATTCCTTTTCCTTTTCTGCAGCTCCTGGAGCCCACTGTGTCCTAAACAATGACTCCAAGGTTCTGAGAGAGCTTCTGGTTGACTCTTTTGGTCACATGGCCCCGTTTCTCCTCCCAAGTACCAGAAAACAACAAAACAACCTGCTTTTGTCTGACTGACCCAGGTAACAACCTACTTTAGTTTGAGCTGCTTAGATATTTAGCTAAAAATGGTTTATTTCCATGAGTCACCTGGCTGGTTGTCTTCATCTGCTGGCCCACTTATTGGTTGGGCATTAAGTGCAAAGTGCAAGTATCAGAGCAGACATTGAGGCACACACTTTCAGCTTTTGACCCTTCTTCTGTTAAATGGGCCATCTTTGTCATATGACAAGAAAGTCCCATTTCCTCTTTGTAGCCCAATTTTTTATTTCATATGTATGCAGCTTTGTGGTTTGGAGGAGACAAAACTTCAGCAAAGATTATGGAGGGTACAAAATGGACTAAAGACAAGATTTCTTCCTCAAGATGTGGCTGCTTAGAGAAGTTGGCATATACAGACTGTTAGGAAATACTTATGTGTTTATTGCTGAGCTGTTTGAAAGTATACTCACAGTTAAAGAAGGGCAAATCAGAGTTGGAAGAAAAAATATTTTCAGAGATCTGCCAAAGGGTTTACTCTTGTTTACTAAAGATATAAGTGCATTTGCCTTTTCTCCTTCCTGCAAATATATGATTTAGTCTTACAAAGCATAGACTTTTACTCGGGGCAGGCACCACTGAAAAACAAGAGTTGTCTGTTTTATTTAGAGTGTAACTCAGGGTTCATGGTTCTTCAGAGGAAACGTAGAAGACAGATGTGGCTATACAAACACATGAAGTATTTAGGAAAAACTCCACGTATACTTACATTTGCCCCTGAATTTTAGAGACACTTTTAAGAATAAAAAATAAATAGAAAACACAAACAGGAAATAAAAAACCAAAATGCAACAGTCATGGAGTGGTAAACATTGAAAAACTAAATGTTATATGATATTTCTGGAAACTGTATATAAAATTTAGAACCCTAGATTTAATTTTAAGTTTCAATTGCAATAATGTGACATCAGGAAATAGCCAAGCAAGTTTTTCAATATTTTTTTCTTTCTCGGTTCCCTTAACTATAAAATTTGTAAATAGGGAAGGGAAGAGGGGGTGAAGGGAGGGCAGGGACAAGGGGAAAAAATGAGAACCAAGACCTGTCATGTAAAAGTACAAGATCCCAATGATGAATGTAACTGTACTGTATTCCTAAAATATGCCAATAAACTCAATGAGAGGAAAAAATGACAGAATTTAAAAAGTAAATTGTGGGGCAGGTTTTTGTTTTGTTTTGTTTTATTTTTACAGTAGAAATGTGAACTTTGATGTAAGAGCTTTGCCATTTCTATGCTTACACCATTAAAATTCTCTGGTAAGGAACTTTTAGGCTTGAGATAAATGTCATGAACATGATTTTGAAGGTAGGCCGGTGAGCCACCAAAAATGTCTGACAGCTCCCAACATGGGCTGGTGGCATTGTACTCTCCGCTGTGATGTAGTCAGGTTGGATAAGTGGAGCAGTGTGAAATGAACCCCGATGGAGCTTAGCATTTGACCTCAGAGGCCTTTAAGCCTCTTTTCATCTTTCTCCCCTCCTGCCTCCCACCATGTGAGCAGAAAAACCCATAAAAATCCACCTGCTTTCTGCAGGAATACTTGGCCTTATTTCCTATAATACCTGTTTATTCATAAATCAACCTAAAATTAACTTCAGCAACAGCAGGACATTTCTGGCCTTGTGAGTTCAAGTATGAAAACCACTAGAACCCACGATTAACCAAATTTCTTCATAAATGGGTTGTTCTATTTATTTAAATTTCTGGCTATTTAAGAGTGAATTTTATGGCTTTTTTTTCACTTTGATCTTTGTTGTTGAAAAGGTGTTATAAAATTTTTTAGTCAAATTTCTTGTTATTGAAAATAGTTATTATATGCTGCTTGAACTTTCTTGATGATTCATTCTACTGTAAGAATGTGCCCAGATCATCACTGTAGATATCAATAATCTAGCAATAATATAAGTACAGAAAGGAGACCAAGATGCTTGCTGAGGACTAGGAGTGAAGCAAATGGCATGAGGTGACATGGAAAAAAGGTAGTTTAATTTAGGTAAATAGGGTGATACTGCAGGGGAAATTCCTTATAACTAAGTCCAAAGCTTTCAGAGATGTGTGCTGTTTTATTTAAGACAGATTTAAAGAGAAAATCCTAAAGAATCTGATATTTTTATATAAGCTCTCTTCTTCAAAAGAGCAGAATTAAGTTCCTTCCATTTCGAAAGGAAAGCGAATGCAAACTAGGTGAAAAAGTCTGGACAATGATTATGAAATCATCTCCAGATTATATCTGGGACATTTAGAAAACTTTCCCAAAAGTAGCACATGCCAATATTTTTATAACCATGTTTTGTCAGGAACCAGCAGAAATGAATAAAGAATCTGAAGTCTGAGTTTCCTTCAGCACTAACCATTGTTTTATAGACTGAAAGAAGCAGGAAAGTAAACATAGCCACTGAACTACCCTCTTTCAGCAGCCAGAAATGGGTAGCTTCAGGGAATAGCAAAATAGATGCAGGGTGCTCATAAGATATTACTTGGAAATCCAGATATATATCAGACTGAAAGAATAATTAATCTTTAACGACTCTTGTTTTACAAATGACAATCAAATTTCCAAAAGACCAAGTGATCTGTCCAAAGTAGATTGGTAAATGGAGACATATAATATTTCAGTTGCTAATTCACCCATCAGGGGATGAATATGGCACATACTTCACAGAGATAGCTACAACATCAGAATAGATAAGAAGTAGGATTTAAAGCACATCTTCTCTCTTCTGCTTTTTTTTTTTTTTAAATTTCCCCAGTACTGGGGATTGAACTCAGGATCTTGTGCTTGCAAGATAGGCGCCAAATCCCTGGCCCTTCTTCTGCTTTTTGATAGTATTTACCGTAATAAAAATTCTCTAAGGTTGAGGGAAAAAGATAAGAAAAAAAATTAGAAATTTAGAATATGTTAGAATTGCATCAGGGATAAGCAGTAAAGAACTTCCTCGTTTCATATTCTGATAAAATAGAAGTGAGTCAGAGTGGTTATTTGTTGAGAAAGCAGAATTTCATTAAAAGTGCTTAGACTAGAAGACACGAGGTCTAGAAAATGTAAATATAAAAACAAGGAGCAGGTTGTGTTTAGGATTTATATATCTAAAAGGATATATATATATATTATCTCAGAAAAGATACTGCCATTAGGCTCAGGTCATGAATACGTGCTGATAGTTCCTCTGTTCTAGGCTCTCTATGAGAGTGGGTGAAGCAAGGGGCACAGTAGTAATAAAGACGTAGAAGAACTAGAAAAACCAGCCATAGTCTCTGACTTCAAGAAGCTTACTATTTAGTTAGGATAATACAACATTTGCCAAGGTAAATCAGTAGTAGCATTTCCAAAGTTCCTAGTTAAATGCAAACTGATAAAGCATTAGGTATAAAAGGTCTGATGATCTTCCAGGTAATAAATATTAACGCGCATCAGTCCATCATCCATTTTGCGTGAGGAAACCCACTAAAACTTTTAGGCTTCACTTAGCTCATTTATTAATATAGGTGACCAAGTTCTGTCACTTTTTAATGAATTATTACAACGAGAGACACATAAACCACTTATTTTTTTTTCAAAATACTACCTTTAGGTTCTATATCATCAGTTGTCTACTTACTGTTTCTTTCCCTCATTTTAGTCTCCAACACACACACACACGCACGCACACACGCACACACCCCTCATACTTGAATGTCGCATGATGAGAAGAATGCATGACCCGACTGTATTAACTAACACTGAATCCCAATGGGAATTAGTTTCCTCTCCTTCCCTTTAGTTTTCTTCTGCCATCATCTTGCAGCAAGAAAGGGTGTCCTGGTGAAAAGTTGCCAATATGTGGCAAAACAGGAAACAGGCACAAAGAGTTCTCTAACATTTGTTTGACTGAAGATTGGGTATGATTAAGAATTCAGATACATTATATACAAGTGCAGATTCCCTGTGATGAGTGCGATCATTATGTATATCAAAAGTGTACCTATAAAATAAGTTAAAAAGAAACAAGGGAAAAAGATTGGGTATGAGTGTAAGCAATCATGGAACTGAATTCTTGTAAATAAGATACAGCACCATTAGCCATCTTTAGCCATTCTTGGAAATTTTTAATAAATACAAAGTCCCTACCCACAAAACATATGCACACTTTAGGAAAATAAAAACTTGTATAAATATTATAATAGCAATTTTATTTGAGACACCATGAGATTAATACAAGTTACCTTTGGCTTCTATAGTTGGAAATGTTTTTTAAAGTGGTGGCCATTAGGTTCCAGAAATTTATTAGCACAGTGAACTGCTACTTGGGTAACCTTGGTCACAGAGATTGCTAAACATGAATTTTCAATTTCTTCTCTGAGGGTCAGCAGTGTAGTAGGTTTTCTGTGATGATATACGACATCCTCTAGGGTCCCTCATACAAGGGTATCCGCCATCTGTTGAAAAAAAAGATTACACAATTTTCCTTTTCCTGGGCCAGTGATTTAGCTCAGTGGTTTCCTCGCTTGCCTTGCAAGCACAAAGACCCGATTTTGATCCCCGGCACCAAAAACAAAACAATTTTACTTTTCCTGAAGTACAGATGCATTTTTTTGGTGGACTCCGCATATATTGACATATGCATATTCCATTTTTCATTGTATGTCATTAGACTTTGGATCAAAACCCTACCCCTCCGCAGGCCTGTGTGTTAGAGTCTCAGTCCCCAGGAGGGTGTTCTGGGAGATGATGAACCCTTTAAGCGGTGAGGCCTATTGGAAGGTCTTCAGGTCTGTGGAAGCTGGCCTTTAAAGTGGATAATGGAATGCCAGGCCTTCTTCTCTCCTTTTGCTTACCGGCCATGAGGTAAGTGGTTTCACTCTACCACATCCTCCTGCTTTTCAATCTACTGCACCAAGATGCAAAAGTAATGGGACCGATTGATTATAGAACTGGAACCTCTAAAACTCTGAGCCAAAATAAACTTTCCTTCATTATATGTTGTTTGTCTCAGTATTTGTTATAG